TGCACTCTAATTTGGAGTTTCATGAATACACCTCTCTTGTTTTAGTTGTAATTCCTTTTACTATAATAGCCATTACTAAAAGGCAGGGGCATTGTACAGCGCTACAGAGTCTGATGGCGCTAAATAAATAATAAAATAATAATAATAAATAATAATTGTGACAAACCCCCTTCTCCAAGTGAGTTTGCCACGAGCTCCGGGAGGAGCCTGCTTGCCAGCCTCCTGCCCACAGTCTATGGTTCCTGCAGAGAAAACTGTAAAAGACTAACGAACTTGACCGATCGTTAGCACTGATTTCATGGAACAGTTTTGGGTAGGGATGCACCGAAGTGAAAATTCTGGGCCGAAACCGAAAATTCAGGATGCCCTTGGCCAAAAACCGAAAATGAAATTTTTTCCTCAAATGATTTTTAAAAAGTTTTTTTCCTAAAATGTTATTAATATTACACTTTTTAATGAATTTAATTAATCTAATATGACAAACTTCCCTTCTCCCTTCTCTTTTAGTGGTCCCCCGCTTAATGTTCCTCTCCCCTCCCACTTTTTTAGTGTTCTTTCCTCCCTCCTCCCCAGTCCCACAGTGTTCTTTCCCCCCTCCTCCCCAGTCCTATAGTGTTTTTTCTCCCCCCCTCCCCTGTCCAATAGTGTTCTTGCCCCCGTCCCATAGTGTTCTTCTCCCCTCCCCTGTCCCATAGTGGTCTCCCTCCTCCCCGTCCCATAGTGTTCTCCCTCCCTCCCCTGTCCCATAGTGTTTTTTCCCCCCCTTGTCCCAAGTATTCTTCACTTTTCATGTTATCATTACTATCTTTCATTGTGATATATAATCATCTGACTTGTTAATGCAAGCATGTCTGTTAAACTATGCACTACAAAAAAGAAAAATCTAAAAAAAAAAAAACATTAAAAATAAATTTTCTTTGACGCATTTTCCGCTGAAACAGGCTAGGCCCATTTTCAGCCGAAAATTTTGCCAGACAGCATAGACAGCAGGCTGTATGAGTGTCCCTAATCTGATAATAAAAATTTAGGAATTTCTCATTAAATACAAATAAGGAAATATAAAAATAATACAGTATAATATAACAATATCAAATATTTTAACAAGAAATATACGGATAGCTGTTGCTAGTTTTCATGTAAGTCCTAAGGTAAAGATGTTATTAATTTAAACCAATACAGGGTTATTCACTTAAGTGAGAAATCGAGATGAAGTCAAAGTACATTTTAAATTTAAGGTAAAAATATTTTAAGTATAAATATTCCAGCAGTGGGGAGGATATATGCAAGCGCCTTGTATTTAGCATCAAGAACAATTTCATTTTAGCTACTCTGGCCTTAAATTTGAAAATGTTATTCTTCCATCATTTAAATGCTTTATTAACTGTAACATGTGTCCATACTGATCTGATTTCTAAAAAGTGCATTATAAACTGCTCTGTGTAACACTGTAAACATACTCTTTATATACATTCACACGGGTACATGTCCTGTGCTAAGATATCTGTGATAAAGAGATAGCGATGAGTGTGTGTGCATAGAATGCAGGGATAAATAGAATATTAATGAAGTCAATAGATGTTTGATAGAAATCAATGTGTACAGTAGATGGATGGATAATATACAGTAACAGTCTGGAATTGTAGCTATTTGTAAAATATTGGATGTATCATATTAACCTCCTAGTGCCCTGGACGTGCAGTCCTTATCCTAGAACGAACGTGCTGTGGAATGCACTGTATCATTCTGATTCCCATTTCAGTCCTAAATAAAACCCCCCAGTGCCACCGCCTGTGTGGCCCTGTGACAAACAAGGGGTTAAATTGGAGCTCTTTGTTTCAGATTTGGGGGGGAGAGATATCTGACGTTCTGCATGGGATCATATATCTATGCTGTCTGATTTTAGGAAAATGAGCAGTACTGAAAGCATGTTCATACCGCTAGCTCTCAGCCTCCCATAAATGATGTAAAGGGCTTGAAGGGAATTTTTTTTTTTCTTTTCTGTTTCTTTTTTTTTTTCAAGTGAACTGCATGGATCTGTGAAAATAATATCAGGATTTTCCGTCAGAATGAGCTTAGCACTGTACTGAGGCGTATCTTAATCTGACCCGACACCTCCAACCATCTGCGGTATCTATCTGCCTTCTTATTTACCAAATCTTCACGAGCAAAAGACAAATTGTTCCTGATACTAAATAAAAGACGCTTGCATATATCCTCCCCATTGCTGCCTTCATTGCACAACGAGGGGGAGAAGAAAGCTCTGTTGTCTTCTGAGGATACAACAATCCGAAATAAATAAAAACAAACAACACAAATTCATATTACACATATTTCTACATTTAACTAACAAATCCATTGAATGCATGTAAAATTCCTCCCATTGTGTTTTTCATTGATTTATGTATTTTAATGAAATCAGCTAAAATGGTCTCTCAATGCTCTAAGTCTGCAGTACATTACTACAGGCGCTCCAATTAGTGTGGACTACATCTCCAATGACTGGAGCAACTGACTGGCTGACTAAGGGTCCATTACTTTATGAAATTGTAGTAGGAATTCACTGGAAAGGATAAAACTTATTATACAATGAGCAGAATTCAAATAAAACCTATTTGTGCGCAGTACAATCTTTCATAGTTTACATAGAGGTTAAATAAACTCAGGGCACGTATTTATTATCAGCATTGTTTAACGTGTGGTGCCTTATTGTTGGCATTTTTTTTGTCTCTCTGTCTTTCTTGTAATGCAACATATTTAACATGCATTATCCATTTTTTGTAAGTCAGTAACTATGTCTGTTTAACCCACTTGTAATCCAAGAAATAGCAAAATATTAAGATGGAATCGGTCTATTCTAGAATCCCTTGACCTGTCGATCTCCTAACTTCATTGCTCCCATTTTAAAGGTCAGAATATCCATGATAAAGCACGTGGTTTTATAATGTACTGTATAAGAGCAGTCATGGCTAATCATGCTGCTGAGGAAATATCAATCAGTTTAACCCTTTCCTCTAAGACATGTCTGCTACACAAACTGACAATATCTGACTGAGGAAGTGAATGTGTTAATCTGATTTTTTTCTGGGTTGTTGTTTTTTTTTGCTGCACACTTTCAGAGGAAGTTGACCTACAAATGACTTCTCACTCACTGTAGCCATTCTCGGTTTTACGATGTCTTCCCAGTTTGTAGAAAACCACATTTTTAACGTAAAATTGATAGATTTTACATGGACAATCGAGTGAGCTGATGTGTCAGACCAGGCTTCAGATTCCTAGCCTCTGTCTTTATGTGTAAATAAAACCAAATTAATGACAGCTGGTGATATGGCTATAGACTTTACCATAGATAGATCACATAGATTGGGATAGTGCATGTGATATGGATAGGTTATGTATGAGGGATTGATTTGTGAGTGTTTATATATCTTTATTTTTGGCTGATACATTGTAATGTGTTTATGGAATGCTGCTTGTAGAATAAAGATCAAGACATGAAACAGTAGTGATAGTCTTGGCTGAAATCATTGGGTTAAGGATATATTTCTGTGAAGCTGTTTGGATATACTGAGGTCAGGCCGATCTGCATTGCTTGGCTCTGACAGCATTCTGTGTCCACACATGGCTGGGGAGACATTGCAGCGGCTTTCATGGACCTAGTCACCTTCTAATGTGATACCTGTGTCCCCCTGTGAGGAGAGAGATTATAGTTCTTTCTGACCCCCTTTGCAGTGTCAGGGTTTCGGCTCTAGATACATTTTAAGGGTGTCAGGGTATCAACTATGGATACATTAAAGGGATGCAGTGTTAGGGTTCCATCCAGGGATGCATTATAGGGGTGCAGTTTCGGGGTACCAGCTATGGATACATTGTACGGGTGCAGTGTCAGGGTTCCAGCCAATGGATACATTATAGGGGTGCAGTTTCAGTGTTCCAACTATGGATACATTATAGGGGTGCAGTTTCAGGGTTCCAGCTATGGATACATTATAGGGGTGTCAGAGTTCCCCCTATGGATACATTATAGGGGTGCAGTGTCAGGGTTCCAGCCATGGATACTTTATAGGGGTTCAGTTTCAGGGTTCCAGCTATGGATACATTATAGGGGTTTCAGGGTTCTCCCTATGGATACATTATAGGGGTGCAGTGTCACGGTTCCAGCTATGGATATATTATAGGGGTGTCACAGTCCCAGCCATAGATACATTATAGGGGTACAGTGTCAGGGTTCCAGCTATGGATACATTGTAGGGATCAGTTAGCTGTGGGTACATTATTGGGGTGTCAGGGTTCCAGCTATGGATACATTATAGGGGTCAGTTTCATGGTTCATCCTATGAATACATTATAGGGTGTCAGGATTCCAGCCATGGATACATCATAGGGGTGCAAAGTCAGGGTTCAGCTGAATACATTATATGGGTGCAGTATCAGGGGTCCCCCTATTGATACATTATAGGGGTGTTAGACTTCTAGATATGGATACATTGTGTTAGTGTAAGTGTTCCAGCTATGGATAAATTATAGGGGTGTCAGGGTTCCCCCTATGGATACATTATAGGGGTGCAGTGTAAGAGTTCCAGCTATGGATACATTATGGGGTTTTAGGGTTCCAGCTATGTATACATTATAGGGGTGCAGTGTAAGAGTTCCAGCTATGGATACATTATGGGGGTGTCAGGGTTCCCCCTATGGATACATTATAGAGGTGTCACGGTTACAGCTATGGATACATTATAGGGGTGTCAGGTTTCAGCTATGGATACATTATAGGGGTGTCAGGTTCCACCTATGGATATATTCCCCTGTGTATTAGGACAGAGGCTGGCAGAGCACTGGGCGCTGTCGAGCTCTGGGAGGTGCTGAAATCGCTCCCTTTTCCTTCCCGTTGATTGGCAAAAGCTGACACTGATTGACAAGATTCCATGGCAACCCAGCAGCCAATCTGCCAAGTCCAATAGGAGGATCGCTGGCTGGCTCCGGGCAGCTCTTTTCCCTTTAACAGCAGATACACTTCGATAACCCTCTCCTGGCTCTTGGAGTTAGCAAGTCCTTATAGACAGAGATCAGCCTGCACAGAGCAGTGCCTGCTGCAGTCTTCTTGGCGTCGGATTCTGCGTCAGGCAAGGCTGCAGCTGCGTCAAAACCAGCGTCAATGTTTCAGCTGCCTATTCTGAACTTCAGCCCCCAGCAGGTAGCTGGGGTGTGCGAGACTCTGGAGGAGAGTGGGGACATTGAGCGATTGGGTCGCTTCCTGTGGTCCTTGCCAGTGGCCCCTGCAGCATGTGAGGCCCTTAACAAGAATGAGTCGGTGCTCAGAGCCAGGGCCATCGTGGCCTTCCACACCGGGAACTTCAGAGAGCTCTACCATATTTTGGAGAACCACAAATTCACCAAGGAATCCCACACGAAACTGCAGGCTCTGTGGCTGGAGGCTCACTACCAGGAAGCGGAGAAACTGAGGGGGAGACCCTTGGGGCCAGTAGACAAGTACAGAGTAAGGAAGAAGTTCCCACTGCCCAGAACTATTTGGGATGGGGAGCAGAAGACACACTGCTTTAAAGAACGAACCAGGCATTTGCTTAGGGAATGGTACCTGCAGGACCCTTACCCGAACCCCAGTAAAAAGAGAGAACTTGCGCAGGCAACAGGACTTACCCCTACACAGGTAGGGAACTGGTTCAAAAATCGAAGGCAAAGGGACAGAGCAGCGGCGGCTAAAAACAGGTGTGTATCCATACTAATCATATTGTTATATTGTTACTGTGTGAATTGCAACAATGTATCAACGGCGAGCGCGCTTAGAGCTACCCAGAAAGAACCCACTACCGAGCTTCCTCACAATGACCATTGACTCTCTGAATTCCAATCCCTTTCAAATGATATTTTATATAAGGAAAGAAATAATCATCTGCAGCGTTTTCATAAATGTATCTCCTGTCCTTATTGTTTACATTTCTGTCTTCAAAAACAATTCTAAAATAAGTTACACAGTTTAGCAATATAGAATTATTGTTTATTTACATAATAAATATTGTTTGTGTTCTGTGATACCGGATATCAAACAAAAATTGTATTATTGGATGGAATGAGAGCTTATATTTTACAGCGTTATAATTGTCACTACAATTATTTTTATTATAGTCTGAATTTAAAATAAACTTCACAAGTCAGAAGCCATTTGGCTGCGCTTTGCCACTTCCATGACTATTAATTCCTTTAACTAAAAGTCCAATGTTAATCTCTTCAGTCATATCGTAATCAGATTTAAAAAGCTTTAAGCACCATCTCTTTTCGCTAAATCTTTCTACCTATATTTTTAAAAACACAACATATATATAAATACACACACACACACATATATATATTTATATGCAGAGTCGATAGTTTTAAAGATATAATTATCTATAGGCTTTGTATTAATAACAATACGTTTATAACCCTTTATTTGCATTCTGTGTACAGGAATTTTTTCTGCCTAAAGAACGATTAGAAATGATAACTATATATGTAAATAACAATAATTCATTATTCAGTGTGAGTGTACCAGCCAAATAAATACAAGGCATCGAGATAAAATAATGTAACCTTTTGGTGTTTGACATAGTAAAAGGTTTGACTGTAAGACAAAGGTATAAATCTATTCTGTACACATGCATACCATAATACAGAATCCAGGCTATGTACAGAAATCCAGGGGGTATTTATTGTACGCATTAATGCAGTAATTAAAGTATTCTTTTAGGCTAGTTTGTCTGCCATCTATATCTGTTCAAATAGCACAATTGTATCTTTGCTAAAGGCCATTTATTTATTTTCTGTAAGCTCCATATTCCGTGTTATTTTGGCCGCATTCTAAAGGTTAAAATGTGTCCAAATGGATTAATGTTGTGCTCTGGTTTTGAAGAGTTTATCTGTTAATTGATATCAGCCATAGTACTTTCTTAATCTGTTTGCCTGTTTGATAAGCAAGACGTGTAACATGGGAAGGAGGCTGTAATGTGGGGTCAATCAATATGTAACTCAATGGAATGTTCGCACACACATTGTTCCACATTAGAACGTTGCCCCAGAACAGTCCTGTGATAATAAAACACAGTGTGAATAAAGGCTGTATATACATGGTGGTGGTTGTGTTGGTGGGGGATGGGGTGGGGGTGCAATAAGAGTCCTCTGATTTTGTAGCTATTTTTTTTCCTTGACTTATGGTGACTGTCTCCTCTGTTGTGTTTTGTCAGACTGCAGCAGCAGGTCTTATCCCACGGATCTGGACGCTCATTGGGCCCTGATGAGCGAGGGGAACAATTGGGCTCAGCCTCCAGTCCTGCAGCTAGTTTGTCCAGCAAAGCGGCGACCTCTGCTATTTCCATCACGTCGAGCGATAGTGAATGTGACATCTGACCTATGGGGCGTACTTAGCGCAGCAAAAACCAGGACATGAGACCCAGTACAGTGCCTGACTCACAGTAACAGCCTTGGCCACAGGGTCAAACATAGGCTGTCACTTAAACCAGGGAGTGCTGATCATAATGTCACATAAACCCACACTAGAAGACTGTAAGATTTGTCACCTTTGTTTTTGGGGACTTTCTCATAAGATGCCTGAAATGCCATGCTGCCAAGTGTCTGAGCGCCTGCCCTATATCTTATGTGGATATTTCATGTTGAAAGAAGACGCTATTATAATAATATTTTTTTTTTTTTGCTTTACTTTAAAATGTGTTTTTTATATAATATATGATGACTTATTTAAGGGATTGCCAATGTTAGAATTCCTCTGCTTGTCTGTATGTGCGCAGGTGACTAGTAGACAGCATGTGCGCCAAATCTATGGATCTAATGAGGGATGCTGAAATAAAATGTGTGGTGAGCATCATTTCTTACTAAATTTGCACATTTTCTTCATTATTTTTGTTGTTTTATATACATCTTCAAATCCTACTACTTTACATTCCAAGGGGTGTTTATATGTGTCCTGTTTAAACATTCCTTGTCTGGAGTACAACAAGCTTCTCCCAAAGCTTAATGAATAAAATACAATATTTCTATTACCGTGCACTTTATTTTGGAACAAAATATTTTCACTTACAAGTGAACAATGATTCTAAAGAATTTTATAAATTGGTGCTAAAAATGTAATAGCTGGTAACTGGCATAATTATACATTTATTTATTCATCTATTTATCATTTTGATGTACAATATAGAGGCAAAAAAAAAGATTAGTTCTGGGGCATTTATATTTGTCCTTGGCATTACAGAAGTGTTATAGTATCAATTAATAATTCCAAATAAAATATGCAGAATATTAAAAATGCAATCCAGCTCTGCTACCAATAATAGCACCTCTTGTTATTGCATCTTAATTGTCCCTTTCTATCTAGCGATCTATAGATCACACATCTTAGGTTTTATATATATTTGTATCTAATGAGACAAAGAGTCCATACCGTATGCCGATATTAATCATCATGTAGTATGTTTTACATATTTTTTTTTAAAACCTTCTTTGGAATTCAAACCTTTAAAATTTCAAATATATATATATATATATTAAAGTTTTTAATTCCAAAGAAGGGTTTTAGAAATATGTAAAAAAAATAATAAATAATACTACATGATTATTAATAAATATATAAATAAATAATTATATAGATAGACATTTTATGTATAATATAAATTATTATACTGGTCAATATCAATAGACAAAAAAAAATATAATAATTTAGTGCTTCATCTATTTATTTCAATAAATATGTCTAATTGAAATATAGTTAAAGGTTGATTTTCAGACTGAATATAAAAGCCAAAGTATATGTACAACATGTGTACAAACACTGAAATAAGGGACGTTTCATTTATGCTTCAAAATAATTTGCAATTCCCTTGTAAGTTCAGCACGATTCATACTTGTTTTTTTTAATAAACCCTGACTATTTAGGTTTTGATTTTTACCTTTATACCCAGTTACTCTAGGAACCTAAATATCACACAACCTTTGTCCCCACATAGGATCTCAGTGTGTGCTATATTGGTTATTATATAAATATATGAGAGAGGTTTTGGGGTATCAACCAGTGACAATATATAACTATCAAACAATAACATAATCCAGGATATCTCCTTTTAAATAGATCTGTAAATGTATACATATTATTATTATTAATTATTATTATTATTAATTATTGTTATTTTATTATGTATATGTTATTATGTAAAACATATGTTTTTTTAGATATTATATACACATATAAACACACACACCCATACATAAATAACTGTATATACACTAAATAAACTGATATATAATTTGATTTATATACCGTTATTTCTGTATGAATATATATGTGTGTGTATACACATTCATAACCCTTGTGATAACCTTTTAAATCCTAAGGAAGCAGTGCTTGTTATATCTGTGTCAGGGCGGGGATTGTTTAGTCACTCGGAAAGACAAAGGGAACGCTATTCCTTCAGTGTGGAATCCCTTGTTACTTTATTACCAAATTCTTCTTTTCAGTTTTTTTTTTTATTCAGACAGACCTACAGGAAGGGACATGTAGGAAAAAATACAAAATGCTTGAGCAAGTCTTCTAAAACCATAGAACACATCATACGGGGGGGATTTCTGCTATGCCAGGAGGGATAGCAATTAAAATATTAAGGGATTGTGAAGGTCACATTAGGATTTCTAAGGAAAACTGGTTAGCAGCAAAATACCCTCTTCTTTTTTTTTTTATTAACCACAGAGGTGCCAGTTCAGGGTGCAAGGCTATAACTAACTGGGGTCTGATATTTTGTATGTGTGTGTTTATATTTTTATGTGTGTGTATGTTATTGCTCATAGTTAATGTAACAGATAGATATAGACAGATCATTAACATTGTGCTACTTTTTTTTCTAAAAAACAAACAAAAAAAAAAGTTTCAACGAGTCAAATGCTGTAATAAAAAATATATAAAGGTCCAGTTATTATTATAAAGTACTATACACTGTAAACACAATATTTTTTTCAGGAGCTTGGGGCTTAAATATGGACACATACATATAACTTTATAAAATGACATTTAGGTATAAGACGCCTGTACAATTTAAGGCCGATGGCTGAGAATGGGTGACAATAAATGTTTATCTTTCCAGTTAAAAGTTTAACCAAAACCCCAACCTCTCCTATTACCCCATTAAAATAAAAAGAGAAATTTGTAATGGGGCTGACTGGGAATGAGTTCAGGTTCACACCAAACAAAGCTAATGTTGATTTGTGTTTAAATTGCAATTATGCTATTTATAGTAAACAGCGCTGGAAATGGCTAGAATATAGTTAAAGTGCGCATTGTGATTGTGTGTGTGCCTTTTAAACAAAACAAAACAAGAAAATATTGTGTCAAAAGTAATGTGAATGGTGAAGAGGTGGGAGGCAGATTTTCCCCTATTCAACTTAAAACTTACTAGAATATTTCCGTTTGTATTCAGAGCTGAGGGACCTATGAATGAGACATCTTGTAAGCATTCTATAAGGCTGTCAAACTGCTCAAGGTAATAAGCGCTAATGATGGGGTTTGGAGTCCTCTCCTGGACAAAAGGGGGCTCAGAGTGTTTTGTGAAGCTGAATAGCTAATAAGTTTTCAAGAGAAAATGAGTTAGCTGTCAACAGATTGATTTTGCTGGGCCAAAGAATAGTCTTGCAGGTTTGGGACTGTGCTTGTCTTGGGCAGCTGGAGACAGTGAAGCCCTTACAAGGGTGAGTCTAAAAATGGTAAAAAAATAAAAAATAAATTGTATTCAGCCACCGTGGTCACAACAATCTCCACTGTGTAAGAGTCTCGGTAAAAACAGCTAAGCCTGAATAATACACACGAAAACGATTAGAGGTTTGTATTGCCTTTCTGCCAAACACTTCAACTAAGGACATCACTAATTACCTGTAAATGTATGAAACTCTATAGGAAAGGAAGCGGGGAGGGAGGTTAATAACCCATTTAGTAACACAATAAAGTGCCCCTTCAACAATCCTCACTGCTTTATCAGATTAAAATATTTGGTTTTATATAGATTTCTGCTGAATATTTGCTTTGACAACACTGTTACAGAACAATTTCACCACTTTTTATTTTTATATTTGTTTGTTTTTTTTCAGTTGCTAATTTTGTTGTTTGTCTATTTTTTAATTTTTTTTATTGTTTTGTTTTGAGTTGGGGAAAAAATAACAATAATCGAATGGTAAATACATCTACTAATACGTTATAATCTGCAGATGATTTGTATGTTAAGGAAAATAGAAAGCTTTTAATTTTGGATAATTCAGGCACCCAATTAACTGCTTGGAGAAAGCAGACTCCTGGCTTTCCCCCGGTATCCACTCAAGTAAACACATTAGCTACACTTTGTGGCTTCTGCTGTGTTAATGGATTAGACATCACCTGTTTGTAATCTTTCAAAGAAATACGGTAAATGGAGAGAAATATATGCTTTGACCTGCACTAATATGTAGATAAAACCCTTTTATACCGCCAGTACTCCGGTAATAAATGATTAGTTCAGGTCGGATTTAAGAAACTAATTAAATGCCTGATGTTTAAAATAAATCAGTAAAGATGTTGTGACCTGGAAATATTTAGTGCCCGCTGGGTGTTGCTTACTGGTGAGTGTAAACATAATGTAGATACAAAACGTGCTCTGTAACATTGTTACTGTCCCTGTGCTGTGAACGTTCTACCCCTGGAAACAAAGTATCTGGGTAAATAGAATGTTTATTCACTAAACTGCGAATGGTGGCGGACTCGCAGGGCAAATGTTAAGTGAAAAATAGCCAAAAGGGGAAAAATGTTCCAAATCTGCTATTTTGACCTCGAATTTGCAGTCCGTTCTCCACACCTCCAATTTTAGGGTGCTAAAACCCCAGTGATTTTGCTCGTACTTTGCGTTCTAATTCCTCCTTTTTATGATCAGTTTCAGTTACAGAGTTCTATATTACAGCTCTGCCCATGCTGTATGATATTGGCACATTATCACATACATCATTTCATGCTACAGATGTTTTCTCACGGTGCTCAGATAATTTGTTGAAAATTACAAATAGAACTAGGTGGCCAGATCTATCCCTCAATGGTAAATACAGTGCATAAATAACATTATCTATCTATCTATCTATCTATCTATCTATCTATCTATCTATCTGTCTATCTATATCTGTATGTCTGTATATCTATCTATCTATATCTGTATGTCTGTCTGTCTATCTATCTATCTATATCTGTCTGTCTATCTATCTAGCTATCTATATCTGTCTGTCTATCTATCTATCTATCTATCTATCTATCTATCTATCTATCTATATGTCTGTCTATCTATCTATATGTCTGTCTGTCTGTCTATCTATCTATCTATCTATCTATATCTGTCTATCTATCTAGCTATCTATATCTGTATGTCTGTCTATCTATCTATCTATATGTCTGTCTGTCTGTCTATCTATATCTGTCTGTCTATCTATCTAGCTATCTATATCAGTATGTCTATCTATCTATCTATCTATCTATCTATCTATCTATCTATCTATCTATATGTCTATCTATCTATCTATCTTTATCTGTATGTCTGTCTATCTACATTCTATCTATTTATCATATATCTATCATCTATCTATCATCTATCTATCTATCTATCTATCTATCTATCTATCTATCTATCTATCTATCCATGTATCTCTAATCCACCCTCATGTTATCTATCACAAATTATCTGCTTATCCTGGAATATTTATGCAATGAAACGTTTCTTTACCTCCTGGACACATGTTGTCATGTTGCATTTGTCTCTTCCTACATTTTATTGGAAGACAGGGTTTTGGGATTTACACCTACATGTCCTTAACGATTAACAAGACAGCTGCCACTAAAGCCAGTGTAATGAAATACTTTTGTACATAAAACACTAATGATACATTTCTGGGTGTTTGGCAGCGATGTGAATGTGGGGAGCATTATTACAGGAAGACACAGAGTGATGTAGATGTTAC